TCTTTCTTTCTTTCTTTCTTTCTTTCTTTCTTTCTTTCTTTCTTTCTCTTTCCTTCCTTCCTTCCTTCCTTCCCTCCCTCCCTCCCTCCCTCCCTCCCTCCCTCCTTCCTTCCTTCCATCCTCCCTCCCTGTCTCTCTCTCTCTCTCTCTCTCTTTTTCTTTCTGAATTGGTTAATCCATTTAACGCTTTGGCAATGTTGCAAAATTCTGCGGTTTATTTTGGAAACAGACATGCATTCTGTCTCATGTACGCGCACGCCCACACACACAAAAGACACACCCACGCTACAGAAGTGCACTCTTAATAGTACTAGTCATTGTGAAGTTGCTACGTAAGTTAACACAATTGTAAATACCTTGTTTGCCAGGAGAGAGTTTGTGGAGGGGAGGGAATGAATGCCTGGCAAAAACGTCCCAACCTCCCTTTTTTTCTTCCGGCAAGGGCTGGTTTTTTTGAAAAGGCAGCCCAGGTTGGTTCAGAGGCCTCGATGCCAAGTCTCTCTTTCCCCCCCCCCCCCCCCCCCCCCCCTTTGCATTGTGGAGTCAGAATGGCAAATCCACCCCTTGGACTTGAGTTTCCAGTAACTTTGCATAATCTCACGTTAAAAGGGCCGATTGACATCAAAATGCTTTTAATGCAATATTGAAGAGGTGATTTTTCTGTTTCCTTTTTTTTTCCTTTTCTTTTCAAAGTAGCATGTCTAGAAATATAAATGTTTAAACTATGGCAACCGACGACAGAACTTAATCCTGAAAAGAAACTTAAAAAGGAGACCGGGCTACTTTTTGGTTTTGGTTTTGTTTTGTTTTTCCCTTCCTTCCTTGTATCGTTGTTATTCTACGTGTGCAAGAAATTTTAAACAAAAGAATCCCATCTCGCTGCTTTTGAATAACTGAGTTTTCTGTGGTTTGGGTTCTTTGAGCAATTAAATGTGTACACGGGTTGGATTTTTTAAAACATGCACAGAATTTTTTGCTTCCAATAAAGTATCTAATCAAAACACTACGAGAAAAAGGTTTCTCCCTGTTGTTTCTTTTTGCTTCCCCTGTTCCCCATCACTGGCCTCTGCAGTTGTTGGCTTGTTTTGAACTCGGCGCCAGAGCTGAGCATCACATCAATTCTTTGGTCTCCAGATGAGAAGGGAGCATGCCACTCCCAAAGAGGACAGAGTTTCCCAGCCTTGCCAACTTTAAGATGGGTAGACCTCAATTCCCACAATTCCCCAGCCAGCATAGATATAAGTGATTTGCTACAGATTTACTATAGTGATTCACTTAACCACCATAAAAATGATGACATGGGGTCTGATTCTGCTTATGAAACGCAACAATAGAAATTCCAGGCTAATTGTGATTGTTAAGTTGATGGCTGCTTGTAAAGCTGCTTTGCGAGAACAGAACTAATCTGCAACTATTCAGATTGTTGGCCCAGCAGGCACAAAAACAGCCAAGGAAACGGGGGGCCCCCTGTGAATCAGGAAGGCTGATTTACCACCAGTTTTATCGATTGCTTAGGAGGCGAAAGCCGGGCAGCCCAAACAGGCAACCACTTGATAGCCAGCCATCGACACCCCACCCAACCCACAAAATAAAAAGCCACACCGCCACACACCATATAAACACCACACACAGAACAGCCCGAAGCCCTTGCTCTGCTAGGGAGAAGTTGGGCTCCGGCACCACGAGTCCAAAAGCTTGGAAGACAACTCTGATCCCAGTGACCGACCCAGGTCGGATCCTGCAATATTATCCGGGGACACGTAGGTTCGTCTTCCGTCGCGAACTAGATTTAACTGGTTCCTTTTTCCTTGTTTCGTACCCTCTTTGGTTTTACACTTTCTTCATTCCCGCATTGTGCATAGCCATGTTTTGTTTTGTGATCAGGAATAGTCTTTGAGTGCGTGTGCGTGCGTGCCCGTGCATTAGCCACCGTTTGTAAGCGACCATTTCAAGACTGATTTTTTTTTTTTTTTAAAACATTCCTTGAGAAACGGCAGTGGTTAAATAGCAGACCCGTTGACTGAACGAAGCAGCTTCACGGAAGCCCCCAAAGGCCAAATGCTGAGAGGAAGTAATTGGAAAATAAACACAATTCTTTCCTTCCCTTAAACACACACGCAAACGAACAATCCCGGTGTTAACTTTTTTTTCAGGTAAGCTTTCATACTCCCCCTAATTAAGTTAAATGCAGATGAGCTTTAAATCCATTTTGGGGGGGGGGGGGAGCAGAAGCCTAATTAAAACAGCATTTTTTAAAAAAAATTGAGATGCTTGCATCTCCTTACAATGCTTATTTAAAATGAATATTCGACAGGTGCCATTTGGCGGCTGACTGGCACTGGATCGAACCAGAAGGAAAGCAACCCAAGATTGCAGCGTTGATGATGTGGAAAAACAGATAACGGACAGGCATGCTGTTGAAGAGCAAGGTTTTTTTTTTTTTAATCCTTAAATATTTTTTTCTTCCAAAATATACATTATTATTATTATTATTATTAGTGCTTTAAGCGTTCGATGGAATCAAGCCGCAAACTAACAAACTGGGATATGGTGGCTACGTAGCACGCAGAGAGAAGCAAAGCGAGGTGTGTTTGTGCTGTGGCTAAAGGGAGGCCCGGCTTTCAGACCCTGCCACAGGGATGGGATACCCTCAGGAGAGCCACCGCTGGCTTAAAAAAAAACCCTCCTCCGTCGAGAGCCACGGGGCACCGCTTCCCGGCGGCTTCCCTTGTGAAAAAGCCAGAGTTGTTTTCTTCAAACTCAAAATGACTCCATTTCGTATGCAACTCTCGTTCCGTGATGTGCCTGGAAATGTGCAGGAAATGCTCCCTCTAAACAACTAGGGAAGTTTGTGTGTGTGTGTGTGTTTTGTTAGATCCAATTTTGCCTCCTTTGGTGAGATTTTTTTTTCCCCCCTTAAAATATAAATATATTGGGTCATGGCTGTTAAGGAAAGCGATCGGTTAATCTGGAAACATGGGGTTACCCTTGCAACCAAGAAGGATCTTGCAAGTATTTCCTGGGGTGAGTCGCAGCCCTGTTGCTGCTAGCAATTGTGATTATTTTTTGGGTGGGGGACACAGAAATCTCTTGCTGACCTGGCAGTGTTTCAGTCATTTAGCTGTGCCAACCCCACAACGGGTCTGTGGGAAGGCGGCATTTTCACACCTTCCAAGGACAAAGCAGCAACTGGGCTCCAACGGCACCTTTGCAAGCGGACACATGGAAGGAACCCTGGACAAAAATGGTCTTTTCTATTTTGGAATGTGTTACGGTTGCAATCCAGGTTTTTCTTCCCAGAGTTCACGGCAACCTACCTACCGCATGCAGAACTCTTTCCTCTTTATTTTTTTAACCCACCATACCCCGATGAGGTAGGCCTGAGCACAACTATTAGCCCCAAGTCACGGAGTGAACATCCACGGATTTGACCCCAGTTCTTCCCAACTCAGACAGGAAGCAGTCCAGGGCACCCTTAAGCACCATATTCACGGTGAATGTTCACACAGCTCATTCCTTAACCTCGAACTCAGCACTCAATAAACCAAGGACCAGGAAAAGACGGCTATTATCTCGCCGGAGGCCTTTTCCCAGGACGGCTGAGATGTGCTCCTACTCTTCGCATGCCCACTCAACCTGCGCATAGCTAAATGTCCCATTCTAGTCCAGGGGTCCCCAACCACCGGGCCGTAGACCGGTACCGGTCCGTGGGACATTTACAACCGGGCCACCGGTTTGCTAGGCAC